AAATTCACTTGTCAGAAGAGTCCTTGGACTCCCTGAACCAGATCTGTCTTTTAATCCCTGCCTTTCTCAGTCATTATGTGGGAACAACTGCAGCCCTGTCAGCTGTGCTTCCTGTGGTTAGAAATTTGAGAGGCACTTTCTCATAGTTTCACCATCATCATCTTACGTTATTTTTTATTTTTTATGTGGAATCTATTATGACATTATAAATCATTGCCTTTAAGAAACATGGCTCTATTGATTAAGAGCTTTTGTGTATTCATTTATAACCATACTTGGAGAAATTTAAGAATTGTATTTATTTTTGTCTTGTCATATATTTGGTGCTTATTGATTTAAATTATAAATGCAAAAGAGGGAAGGGAACTACCTGCCCTGCCCCCTCTAAGCCTTTAACACCTCCTTGTAGTTATTGCTAATGACAATGGTGGTAGAGTAGAGGAGAATGTCATGGGAAGGGAAGTAAAAAAATATGCAATAGGATATTGGAAGGAGCACCTGGATAGATTTTGAAGTAACTAAGAGCTTAATTTAGAATTTAAAGTTTTAATTAAAAGTTAAGATAGCAAGTGAGTTTCTTAAATATACAAGTTTGCATCTGTCTTTTTAAAAAGCAAAACCATGAGGAAACATGCAAATAATTAATAAATTGACTTTTTAAAACTTAAAATATTTCTCAATTTACTTTGGAGGTCGATGTTGTTGATCCTGAGTTGTAAATTGATTTCTTGGTTCCATGAAACTTAAACACAAAGAAAATTTCTACAGTCCCATATGAATCAAAGACTGAGAAAAGTCATTTGTGTTAGATCTTAAAAATGTCTTTGGCAGCACTTTGGTATTCAGAAGTGTTGGAGAAACTTTGGCAGCAAAGCAGAGCCATAGAGTAAGACCAAACTAGGACAGCAAAGTCATTATTCTGCTTTTTAGTGAAGGAAGTATTTTTTTAAACAGTTGTGACCTTTGGTGTTATACCAAAAATACCTTATTGGGACTTCATTTGGATGCAAGGCTGTGTCAAAATATTTACAAACACAAGGATTGAATATTAAGTAGTGACTTCTAAAAAAATTATGACATTTTAAATGCATAAAGTTATTTTTATGCCAGTTTTAACTTTTTTGTTGTTTTTCTTCAAAAATGTCAGCTTTAATTTAAAATGTTTTTCATGTGTCCCCAAATGAATATGGTAAAATAACTTTAAATACCTTATAAATTTAAAAAATAATTTTAAAGAATACAGAAAATAAGAACTTTCTTAAATTTAAATATGAGATGATAAAAGGGAGATATATTTCACAGAAACTATGGTTAGAATGAATTGTTGGAAAAGGAACTGAGGGAATAATTAAGGCAATGAAATGGATAGTATATATATGTATTATGTATATTAGTATATATATATATTATATGTTTTAAACATATTTTTATTTATTTAATTTATTTCAGAGAGGAAAAGAGAGAGGTAGAGATAGAAGCATCTATGATGAGAGGGAATCATCGATTGGCTGCCTTCCACAAGCCCCACCCTGGGGATTGAGCCAGAACCTGGGCAGGTACCCTGACGGGGAATCGAACTTTGACCCCCTGTTCCTAGGTGTTGAGGCTTAATCGCTGAGCCATGCCGGGTGGGCCCAGGGTACTATTTGACCAGGTACCTGGGCAGCATGGCCTAGCCAAATTGACACATAAAATTATATCACAGTCAGTTTTAGTGGAGTTTGAAACTATTCGTTGAAAATGTAAAGATGCAATGTTTTCTGATTAGTTTGTAAAAATCACAGCCTGACATCATGGACATTTAGTAGCATATTTTAACATAGACCTTTCCACATTGGTGGGTAAGGTTGATAAAGGAATTGGAAAATGCAGTCAACAGTGAGCTTTTTCCCTCAGCTCTTTTTATTTTTGTGAAGTGTCATTTGTTTCCCGGCTGTGACAATCACTAGAAACTAAATGTCACCGTTTAAAGCCAAGGCCTTTGGATTGCTTTCCTTTAAGTATTAAACCAAGATTTTAGAAATAATGAGTCATAGTCAATTCATTGCTCTCACTAAAATTGTTGTATTTTAAAAAGTCATGGCCGAGAGGCTTTTGTTTGTTAAATAAGTAAAAATAATGTTTAAAATAAAGTTTAAAAATAATGTTTACCTCATTTTTTGTGGATTTCATAATTTAATAATTTAATAGTACAGTGTATATAAATTAGAAATCCTATATAATAAAACCCTAATATGCAAATTGACTGAACAGCGGAATGACTGGTTGCTCTGACACACACTGACCATCAGGGGGCAGACACTCAGTACAGGAGCTGCTCTGTGGTGGTCAGTCCCTCCCACAGGGGGAGCGCTGCCCAGCCAAAAGCCAGGCTCATGACTGGCAAGTGTAGTGGTGGTGGCGGAAGCCTCTCCCACCTCCATGGCAGCGCTAAGGACCCCTTGGGGGATGTGTGCCTCTCTGCCATAACCCGGCAGGTGGATATCCCCCAAGGGGTTCTGGACTGTGAGAGGGTGCCAGCCGGGCTGAGGCCCGTCCCTACACTCCCCAGTGCACGAATGTTGTGCACCAGACCTCTAGTCCTATCTAATGAAGCGGGAATATGCAAATTGACCGGCACACCATCACAAAGATGGCAAGGCCTACAGCGGACGTGGGGTTTCCATAACACAAGATGGCTGCACCCACAGTGGAGGCTGATTTCCTGTAGCGAGCCTTAACGAGCAATCAGCAGGAGCCTGAGGCTGTGTGATGCTGGGCCAGGGCAGGGGACCTGAGGCTGCACCCCCTGTCTGGTGGGGCTTGACAGGGGACCTCAGGCTGTGCACCCCGCCCCGGTGCCAGGCCGGGGGACCTGAGGGTGCGCTGGGGGACCTGAAGCTGCGGCCCCTGCCTGGCGTGCACCAGGGGACCTGAGGCTGTGCCCTCCATCTGTAGGGCTTGGCAGGGGATCTGAGGCTGTGCTCCCGCACCCTGTCGGGCTTGACGGGGGCCCTGTGGCTGCGCCCCCTACCCTATGGGGCTTGACGGGAGTCCTGAGACTTCACCACCTGCCTGGCGCCAGGTCAGGGGACCTGAGGCTCCGGCGCCCTCCCCTCCACCCCCCGCCTGACGGGGCTTGATAAGGGTGGGGCCAGCCGGGTCTGGATCTCGCCCAGTGGGGGTGGGGCCGGCTGGGTCTTTGGATCTTGCATGATTTTGAGGTGCCGCGGGTAGGCAGGGACTTGACTCTGGGTCCCGCGGCGTGCCCTAGACTCTGAGAGGAAGAAGCTTTTCATATACATTTTACTAATTTTCTTTAATCTCTAACACTTCTATTATAGAGAAAGGGCAAATAGCAATATTAAAATATTTTCTCTAATTAATCCCCTTTAAAGTGCATGAATTTCATGCACCGGGCTACTAGTATACTTATAATAGAAGTATTTGTTCATATTTTTTACTGATTGGGGAGAGGGTTGTAATAAATTTGGGAATTTCAGAAGATAGAGAAGTATAATATAAAATTTGCTGAAGAAGATATGGAAGTTCATAGGTAAATAACTAATGTGATTAAACCATGGGTAATTTAGGAAAGAAACCTAGAATATAGAAAAAAATGGTATTTTAATTTTTTATCAGCATTGTAGACTTGAGCTATGGGTGAGGGAGACAGCACCAAGTTATTAATTTGGAGATTATTATTAAGGGATAGGAAATGATGGTTTCTTAGGCAACGGGTAGCAAGAAACTGAACCTTTTTGGAAAAATGAAGGATGATTATTTCAACTTCAGACTATTCTTTTTCTTGCACTGTTTTTTTTGTTGGGGGTTTTTAAATTTGAAAGACATTTCCAAATTAAGTTTACTGAGCAGTGCATCCTCTTGCTATTTTCAAGTCTACTTAGAAAGCCAAATGATACTGACAAAATTGTATGAAAGAATAGAATTAGAGTGGTAATACCAAACTATAATAGGCAGATAAATTGTATCGCTGCTGTTTAGAGAGTATTTACTTTTACCAGTGGAATTTTAAAATGATTTAAGGAAATAAGATAGAAAGAGATAAAAAGCAAAGACTTGGAAATTTATAGGTAAATAACAAATGTGATTAAGCCATGGGTAATTTAGGACAGAAACCTAGAATATAAGCAGAAATGATATTTTAATCTGTTATAAGCATTGTAGACTTGAGCTATAAGTGAGGGAGACAGCACCAAGTTATTAATTTGGAGATTATTATTAAGGGATAGGAAATGATGGTTTCTTAGGCAACGGGTAGAAGGAAATATTTTCTGAGAATTGAAAGAGCCTTGTAAGATTTATTTGTACAGTATTAGTATTGTGTGTATTGCATTTCAGAACATTTAATGACCGCTATAATCCTGTTGAGGTCGGTGATGGGACTCCCATATTAAGATGGAAAAAGTTCAAACAGCCTTGGTAACTTGCTCAAGGTCAGACATCTGATAAGTGTAGAGCCCAGAATATGAACCCAGATAATATTTGATTCTGGTCAGCCAGTTTTCATTGAGTGCCTGCTGTGGTACCAGGCAAGCCATGGTGCTAATACCTTGGTAACTCAGAGTTGAGTAATACATGGTTCTTGCCCTCAATATAGTATATCAAATGAAAAAGATAGGAATTTTTAGGGAGCCTTGGGACCCAGATAAAGGCCACTTATCCCAATCTGTGAGTTTAGGGCCATTTTCTGGAGGATAAAGTATCTGAACTGAATCTCAACAGAGGAATAAAAGTGCATAAAGGTGACTAGGGGAGGGTGTTGCAGCTAGGGAGAACCACATGTGTAAAGGCCTTTAGGCATAAAGTAGCATGATTCATGCTGAGGAACCTATTTCTGGGTAGGACTTAAAGGATGCGGTGGGTGCGGACCCACAGAAGAGCTTAGGTTTTTTCCCCCCTCTTTTACTTCATTGCTTCTCTGGATGAATATTAGAAGCTAGTTAAAGCATTTGTGGATAAAATTAGACTTTTTACTGTGCTTTTACCTTTTCTAGGATCAGTTCGACAGCTTAGACAAGCATACACAATGGGGAATTGACTTCTTGGAAAGATATGCCAAATTTGTTAAAGAGAGGATAGAAATTGAACAGAACTATGCGAAACAATTGAGGTAAGTTAAAATTTTTTTCAATTCTCAGAAGTGAAATTACATGTGAAAATAGTTGGGTGTGCCCTGGCCAATGTGGTTCAAGTGGTTAGAGTGTTGGCCCACTCACCGAAGTGTCACAGATTTGAATCCTGTTCAAGGACACGTCGCTGGGTTGTATGTTCGGTCCCAGTTGGGGCATGTGTTGGAGGGCAACCAATTGATGTCTCTCTCATATTCATGTTTCTCTCTCTCTCTTCCATCCCCATTCCCTCCCTTACTTCCACTCTTTCTAAAAATCAATGGAAAAATCCTCAGGTGAGGATTAACAAAAAATAAACAAAATAAAAATAGTTGGGTATTAGGTAAATGTGATATACTAGAAGTTAAATTCTGTTTTTCATTGAAGTAGATTGAATTAGGTAACTGGCTTGTTTTAATTACCGATTTAATTAAATCATAAGTAGCTTCATTCCGAAAGATACTTAAAATCCTAAAGTCAGGAAGCAAAATGCCAGTAAAAAGAAAAATTCCTGGTATAAATTCTGTACTTTACAGTTTTATTCCTTTGTAGTTTTTTGCTTTAGTTATCTTTCTAAAGCATTGAAGATTTCTTCGGTTTCTCATTTTTTTTTAAGTTTTTATGACTTGGAAATTGAATGTGCTTAGCTGAGTTTCTTTCTGTCAAAAATCATATATATTACTGATTTTGGAATATGTGCCAGAAGATAAAAGTTTTAAAGGCAAAATTTTAGTCTTAAAACAAATGGAATTAATTTCAAGATTTTGTTGTAGCAGAAGATCATTGTTGGACTACAATTTGACAAGTAGTTTTGCTGGAACTTTTAATAGAAATGGTACTTGAAGTCTGAAGACTAGACACAAATCAGTACAAGGTTCTAGGGATGGGGTTAGGATTCTTTATATTTCAACTGACAGAAAATCCAACCTAAACAGGCACACGGACTAAAAGTTCCAGGCATGTTTTATTCTGGGATCAAATGTGTCCAGGTTCCAGTTTTGGATTTTACCTCCCCTTTGCTGCCTTTATCCTCAGGTTCCATTCAGTAGTACCATTCCTTTTGCCCTCTTAGCTCTAGATTTCATATCTTTATATCCTTACATCCTGGTGAGGAATAATTTTTTTTTCTCTATGTGCATTTGGGGAAGGAGAGAGGATAGGGGAGGGGGAAGGAAAAAATGAAGGAAGGGAGAAGAGGGTGATAGAAGGAAAGCAGAGTGGGAGCTTGTATTAGTTTCTTTTTTCCAGAAGTCCCAGCAAGGGTTTCTCCTTTTGTCACGCTAACCCTGTGTAGGTTACATGCTTATCCTGAACAATTCACGGGGGTGAGAATAATTAGAATGATTTGTAGCTAATGATGAGGGAGGGCTAGTTACTCAAGAGAAATTTAAGGTAGTGGATAGCAGAAGGAAGGGGTTGATAGTTGCATGAGAAACCACATGATAAACTACAATAGTAGTGGTTTATACAATCAACTGACTAGGTTTAGGGATGAAATTAGACATGTATGATGAATAGATTATTAATAACTAGTGGCCTGGTGCATGGATTTGTGCATATTGAAAGGAAATTAATTCGAAGGTGGCCACAGGGGGCGGGACTGGGAGAGACTGGCTGGACATGCCCTGGAGCCAGCTGCACCTGGGGTAGTGCTGTGGCTTGAAGGGCGTCTGTGGGGTCCCTCTGGCAGGTGGGTCCCTCAGCCTGGCCTGTGGGGATTGGGCCGAAACCGGCTCTCCGACATCCCCTGAGGGGTTCTGGAGTGCGAGAGGGCACTCTGTAAAGTTGCTGTCATTCAGGGTGTGGAACGCAAACGCAACTGTGCAGTAAACCAGATTTGAGGCCGACAGTGCCCCAGCAACAACATAACCCACAGCCGAAGGTGGAATTGTGTGACCCTGTGAGGAATTGGGCTCCCTCTTCTCTGGTTTCAGGGTGTGTACTCTAGCACTGGCGCTGCCAAGTCACTGCAGCTCAGCAGCTCCTGTGTTGAGCATCTTCCCCTTGGTGGTCACTGTGCGTCATAGAGACTGGTCAGATGGTAGGAGGGACACTTAGCATAGCCTTTTATATATGTAGATGTTTTTATAATGATGCACATACTATTAGGACATTTACTGAAAGAGTGGCATCTTGTTAATTTCTTCATCCATTTGCTTCCTCTGTTTTTTTTAAAAGCAGGTATTTCCCATTTGAGAATATAAACAGAGAGCCTATTAGCATATTAATAGTAATAGTGATGATATTTCACCTGTCCAGAAGTTACACTCTTGGAACTTTACCCCTCAAGAATCGAGAAGCATTAAGGACCTCTGAAAAGTTAAAATAGCAATCAATATTGTATTCACATGTGAACAAAAATTTTTCCTCATTTAATTTTAAATAGATCTCAATTCTAGCACAGTAAGTTCTTTGGATTCCAACTTTTCCAATAGAAGTGAAGAGAAGAAATACTTTAGGCAATACAGTGATGGCAGTGTGAAATGACGATAAAAAAGATTAGAATATTATTAAAACAGATTAAAAAGAGTTTCCAGTCTAAAGTACCTGTCAGTAAGGGAATGATGAAAAATATTGTGGAATATGCAGTTTAAATAACTCAGGTATATTAGTATATTTAAACCTAAAGGCTATTTACTAGTAATCTATTAGTGTAAAAAGCAAGTTGTAAAACTGAATGTATAGCAAATCTTGCTTATTCTAGTTTTTGAATATAAATTATGTGTAAAATTTGTATGTATTCTCAAGAAGTACAGAAGGATACACCCAAGTTGTTTTATAGCAGTTACCCCTGGGGAATTGGAGGGGGGATGGTAAGGGAAGGAGCTTTTTTATTTACACTTTTGAATTACTGAAGTTTTTAAAACAATTGTGTGTTATATTTTTGTAGTTTAAAACATTTGTTTTTAAGCAAAGAATGTGGTATACTTCAATAGAGAATCTTACAACAAATTATAAAATAAATAATTGGTAATTTAGAAGGTAAAATTTCAGCAGTCTGGAATATTTAACTGTCCAGAATAACTCAGGCTTCAGGGTTTCAGGATGGCCAAGCTTTTACCAAAGTAACAGGACTCTAATCAAATGACAGACTTGTTTGCCTTTCTCTCGGTTTTGTGACTGATAACAATCATTATAATTTTCATGTACTTGCAAAAAAATATTTGAACACCACTTCACTGAAGCAAAGGTGGCTAGAATCTGCAATTATATTATATGAAAAATATAATTTTGCAGTGAGAAAGTAGAGTTTATTATGCACAGATGCTCTAGATCAGTGATTTGCACTTTTTTTTCCCTTTGTCCGAAGGGAAGAGGTTTGCCTTGTTTATTTCCTCTTCTTTAATGGAAAAAATTCTTTTGGTTAACTCCCTCCTGTTGATTCTATGCAGAGGACAATTTTTTTTCATAGTAGGCAGCTTTTTTTCCTCCTAAATAATAACTATATACAGAATGTTAAACATTTACATTTTAAACATACAAGGTGGGGCAAAAGGTTTACAATTGTGAGTATGAGAAACTCAGAGTTTATTCTTTTTTTAAAAAATTAAATCTTTATTCAGATTATTACAGTTGTTCCTCTGTTTTCCCCCCATAGCTCTCCTCCACCCAGTTCCCACCCCACCCTCTGCCCTTACCCCTCCCACTGTCCTCGTCCATAGATGTACGATTTTTGTCCAGTCTCTTCCTGCACCCCCCACACCCCTTTCCCCCAAGAATTGTCAGTCCACTTCCTTTTCATGCCCCTGGTTCTATTATATTCACCAGTTTACTCTGTTCATCAGATTTTTTATTCACTTGTTGGTAGATATGTATTTACTATTCAAAATTTGTATCTTTACCTTTTTCTTCTTCCTCCTCTTCTTAAAGGATACCTTTCAGAATTTCATATAATACTGGTTTGGTGGTGATGAACTCCTTTCGGTTTTTCTTATCTGTG